AAAAAAAATCTCACAAATACCTCAAAATTCATCGACACTGGCGGACGATTCCACTTCTTTTTCTCCGCACTACCGGTACTCAGTATATCAATTTCTGCTGAGATCTGCGATTCTTTCAAGCCACCCATACGTTTGATTCTGTAAAAAAGAATTTTCTCAACGAAATATGGAAAATGCTAATCAGTAAAATAAGAAGCTGAAAAAAGCACAATCAACCCTAAACAACAGCAACCAGTCAAAATATGCCTTTAGATCTTTTATCAAAACATGTTAATGGCTCAAAGAACAAAAAACTTTATTCAAACATTAAACGAAAGTAAAAACTAACTTCCAAACAATGGCATTCTCGCCAGCCTTGTATTTCGCTTTCCCTTTCATACAAATCAACTGTACTCCACTGGTGTTTGGAGGTGTCGGTATGCGAACCTCAATTTTTTGCGCCAGTAACGATGGCTTAAAATTGGATTTCACCACCACCTTAACCTGCAATGAAAACCATCTGTACCAACTTTCACGGAGAAGAGCGGTCATTTCGTACAAATGATAAAGCATGCCATAGAAATCATCGATGAGTGACATGTGTTTCTTATGCGATACAGTGTAGACAGCTCTACTGCAACTTATAAATTTAGCTGTTTGGCTGTACGGGTTTGGCTGCGTGGCTCGAATACCCCTTTAGAACTTGATTTAAGTCCGCCCAGAGAATGCACTATGGCATCAACAATGCCATCACAATGACTTAAAAAATATGAGAGATATTTTATGATGATATGAAAACTGCAGAGAGGCTGTTCAAAACTTAATTCAGATTCAGGAACTGCTGTGTCTCGATGGTTACAAGGCTTTGTAAAAGCTATAGCAGAAAAGGTGGAGACGAACGGCGGGGGTGAACATTAAAAAACCTTCTGCAGTGAATAGATTACGCGACAGTCAAATCAGTAAACATTCAGTCTAAGCGGCTAAAAACAGGGAATGAAGTCTAGTTTGTTAGACACATAAAAAGTATAACAACTGAACGGAGAAAAAGAAATTCACGAAATATTTCTCGGTAGAACTAAAACTGCAGGTTCCTCACAATATCTAACAAAATTTTAGCTTCCTGGCTTCCCTGGTTCTCGAGATAATAATTTTCCTCGCCAAAACTTTTACAGGGCCGTATGTGTTACCCGCGATACGGGAAGGCTGGATTTAAATTTCCGGAGTCAAAACATGGGTGGGAAATATTCGTCTAAATTTTTAGCTTCCCGGTTTTTGTGGTTCCCGAATTGAAAGTTGCGGACAAGTTACTGTGGGGATATACACACACATACACACAGACAACTCCGTGACAATATGCTTTCTGTACTGTTGTTATACAGCATAAAACACACAAAAAGAAGGAATTCTGTTCCACATCGCTAAGCCACGAAAAGCAGAGGTATGCGTGCAGACAGACAGTAGCATGATACTGGATTACATGAGTAGCAAAAAACGCATAGAAAAACAGAATGTATTTTCAACAAATTAGCAACCTCCATTTTGTTTCTGGAAGTTTCCCGAACAAGTGGAATAACTCGAAATGGAAGCTGTATATCCTTTGTTGTGCGATATCTGCAAAACAACAATTTACTGTGCTGCAACTGTTCATGTCAAGTCCTGTAACATTAAAAACTCTATGAGAGGCAAAGGCACCGCCAAGAACTATTTGTTTCCAATAAGGCAGTCGCTGGTTAGCCCTTTTCTGACCTCAAAGCATACAAATGCCGGTACCAGTTTACCTTAACAAATTAACGAATCATAAATTGATCAGTGTTCCCACAGCCGGATTCAAGACAATGAGTTAGAGGTCTGAGAGAAGCGTATCCGCCACAACACTGCCTCACCAACAGATAGAGATGTAATCAAAAACGAAAATTTTGCTTTTTTCCCCTAT